CCTAACACTAAAACAGCAAAGGAGACATAAATGGTATGGCTAATACCACATTGTCACATTTGTCAAAGACCTTTCCCAAATGGTTGGCAAGGTTGCAAGCAGTGAAGTGTTTGAACTGTTTTCATTTGCATGTGTGATCTGTGGAGAAAATTAGAGGCAGATGGAGGGTGAGGGGTTACAAGTCTTTTCCACGGCCAGATATCCCAGTTGGATGTATTTAATCCCTTGAAATGTGAATGTAGATATACAGGTCAGCTTTTCACGTAGATCTAGTTTCTGATGGTTAAAAGAGAAGCCTTCTACCCTGTTCTTCTGCTGCTTCCTTACTTAAGGCCCCAACACCTCTGTTTGAACCACTTGGGCCCATCATCAACCACCACTCAAAAGGATCTCTCAGTTTCTACCCTCTCTAATTCATTCAACTGACATTATTTCATCCGTAGTACAAATCAGGCACAGAGTTTACAAGTATGGCCCTTAAGGAGATTCTTGAATAACCTTTTTGAACATAGATCTGACTATATAACTGCTGGGCTTAGCAAACTTCAGTGGTTCCCCAGTGACCGAAGTTGATTCACAGTGAGAAATTCTGATTCAGAATGATCCGAGTAGTACCTGGTCATGGACATTTTGAATAAACCAGAGTTTAGTCTGATGTCTCCTCCAGATTCAGAAATGATTAACTTTCTAATTTCTGATACATAATACTCTCTGCAATATGATTCCAACCATCTACCCAGCCTCACCAAATCAACATGAGGTAGTCTCTAAATTTTGCCTTCCTTCCTTCCGTACTGTATTCTAACCGTACTACCTGCACTGCTATTTCTGACACACCAAGCCTACTTTTTGAAGCTTAAACACATATAGTTACAGTGCTCCGGAAACACTGGCACATCTTCACATAGCATGTGCACAAAGTAGCCTCTTTCCCCTTCTTCACTGATGCTCCCTGACCAACTATAGCCCTTGTCCCTATCCCTTCCATGCTTTATTTTCTCCCTGTCCTCAGAGCACTGGTTACTACCCAAAAATGTATTAGCTGTTTATTCTCTATCTTCTCTACTAAAAGTTAAACCCTATCAGGGCAGAATTTGACTTGTTTTCTACTATATCCTTAGTGCCTAGAACAGTGTATCATGTGTTATAGATGCACAAATACATGTGTGTATAGAGGCACACACACTTACTGGGGACTGAACTAAGCAGAGCCTCACACATGATGAGTACATATTCTAACACTAAGCCCCAGCCCTTTTTTATTTTTTGAGGAAAGGTCTCTCTAAGTTGCTTAAAGCCTTGCTAAGTTGCTGAAACTGGCTTTGAACTTGCAATCATCCTACCTCAGCCTCCCAAGTGGCTGGGATTACACAATGCCACAATGCCTGGCTCTCAGCCCAATCTTTAAGTGTACAATTCAGTGGCTTTTAGTACAGTCACACAGCTGTACAACTGTTTCTACTAATTCCAGAAAGCTTTCATAATCCCCAAAAGAAACTCTTATCCATTAACAGTCTTTTCCATCCCCACCCCAGGCGACTAGTAATACTTCCAATTTTCTTGGGAATATATCTAGAAATGGATACTAACTATATAGGAATTGCTGGGTCATATATATGGCAACTCTTAACTTTCTGATAAAAAAAAAAAAGCGCCAAATCATTTTCAAAACTGGCTGCACTACCATTTTACATTATCATCAGCAATGTACAGAAGCAATTCCAATTTCTCCACTCATGCCAAGTGACTGTCCATCTTTTTTATTATACCCACCCAAGAGGATATGAAGAGCTATTCTCACTGTGCATCAAACTCTCTCATACTTTGAAACCCAGCTCAAGCCAGGCATGGACACCTGTAATCCCAGAGACTCAGGAGGCTGAGGCAAGAGGATCTCAAGTTCAAGGCCAGCTTCAGCAACTCATCAAGACCCTGTCTCAAAAATAAAGAAGGGCTGGGGGTAAAAAGTAAAAGTGAAAAAGCTCAGTGGTGCCAGGCGCAGGTGGAACACGCCTGTAATACCCAGGGTTTGGGAGGCTGCAACAGAAAGATCGCAAGTTCAAAGCCAGCCTCAGCAAAGGTGAGATGCTAAACAACTCAGTGAAATCCTTGTCTCTAAATAAAATACAAAAATATAGGGCTGGGGGTGTGGCTCAGTGGTTGAATGCCCCTGAGTTCAATCCTCAGTACCCATAGTACCTCCCCCCGCCAAAAAAAAAAAAAAAGCTCAGTGATAGTGTGCCCTTGGTTCTCAGTATCATAAAAAATGAAAAAACCCAGCTCAAACATGACAATATGGAGCCTCATGTGCTCCAGTGCAGCTGTATTAAACCCTAGTACCATAGCTCATTTATGCCTCTATGAGCGCCCTTTCACTCAATGTCTATTGAGCATCTGCTATGTGCCAAGCACCAATCTACATGCTGAAAATATGGTGAGCAAAACAGATGCAACAAAAACCATCCACCCCCTTCACAGCTTATGTTCTGGCGGGGAGGCAAATCAAAAGTTTGAGACAGTGGTGCATGCCTGTGATGTGGTGGAGGCAATTGGGTGCTCACAAAAGCCTAACTGAAATTTGAGTAGAAATTGAAGTTTTAATGCAAAACAATTATGAGATCTCAAGGAGGCAATGAACATGGGTCTAAGGGTCCAGAGAATAAAGTTCACGTAGATAGAGAAATGAAGGAATGGGCTAGGATTGTGGCTTAGTGGTAGAGTGCTGGCCTAGCACGAGCGAGGCCCTGAGTTCAATCCTCAGCACCACATAAAAATATTGTGTCCAACTATAAATTATCTGTACTCATTTTCTATTGTTGCTTTAATAAATTACCACAATAGATTTGTTTTTTTAAATTTTTTTAGTTGTTGATAGACATTTATTTTATTGACTTATTTTTATATGGTGCTGAGAATCAAACCCAGTGCCTCATACATACTAGGCAAGTGCTCTACCACTGAGCCACAACCCCAGCCCTAAATTTATTATCTTAACAGTTTTATAGAAGGTCCATGTAGGACTAAAGTGAAGGTGTTGGCAGGCTGGATTCCTTGTTTCCTTGCCTCTTCTATGTTCCAGAGACTGCCCTTAATCCCTGGCAAATGGGTCCTTCCTCCATCTTCAAAGCCAGCAACATTGTATCTCTAATTTCAGCCAGGAAAGGTTCTCTGCTTTTAGAACCCATGCTATTGGATCAGGTTCTCCCAGATCACTCAGGAGACACTTCCCATCTCAAAACTCTTAACCCCATTTACTTAATTCCTTTTGCCACGTAAAGTAACATTCATAGGTTCCAAGGACTTAGGACATGGACATCATGTGGGGAGGGGTGGGCAATGGATGTGCACTTTTCTGCAAAGAACTTTCAAAGAGGGAATAATCAACCGTGTCCTGTTAACAGGTCAAAAATATTATGAGAAGCAAGGCACAGTGGATTACAGACAGTGGCACTTGTCTGTAATCCCAGCAACTCAGGAGGCTAAGGCAGGAGGATTCCATGTTCAAGGACAGCCTCAGCAACTTAGCAAGATGCAACCCAAAACAAAAAGAGCTGGGGATGTTATTCGATGGTAGCGCAACCCTGGGTTCAATTCCCAGTACTGGAGATTAAAAAAAAAAAAAAAAAGAATTGACTATTGGATTCAAGTGCCACAGAGGTTCTGATGGTATACATATGGGAAGTTCCCATGGAGTTAATACCCTCATTTTAAGTGTGCTCAAAAGAGAAAAACAGAAAGTAAAACTTTGGAGTTTTGCTATGAAGGGCAGAAAAGAATAGTAGTGGAAGGTGTAGATGTGGGTTTAAACAAGGTTTTTAGAATGAAAGAAATAAGAACATGTTTGAAAGCTGATGAGAATGATTTAGCAGAAAGAAAAGATAATTCAACAGGAGAAGGAATGCCTAAATTCGGGCCCTTTGAACACGTAAGAAATGGAACCTAGTCACAAGAGGAAGAGCTTTAACTAAAAAAAGATGGAGGCAGAGTGCTTGCCTAGCAATGTGTCAGGCCCAGATTCAATCCCCACCATTAGAAGGGGAAAAAAAATGAAGAAAAATCTGTAACTAAAGTGTAGCACAGATGCAGGTGGGTGGGTAGGAACCTGTGGAAGTTTTGTTTCTATTTTCTAAGCTTATGGAGTTGGAAACTGAGTGATGATGTATTTTAGTCTTCAAGGAGAATAGAAAATGGAAATAATGTAGTAGGACTATGAGATCTATAAGTCATGACAAAGACCAAATCAATGCATTCAGTTGCACAAAATTTAAATAAGGTAGGACACTGAACTTAACCTAAAGTGGAGTCAGTATAATGAGACAAAGCAAGGCAATTTTATATAGCCAACAGTGATTATCACAGTGGGCCACAGAATCTAAGCTAGGTAATAAGGTTAAAATAAGATGAAAATTGGACAGGCAAAAAGATCAATGAATTATAGGTAACACAGTGGTTCAACCACCCATTGTAACTGTTTATGTCTACATATCTGATTCCCCTCTCTAGACTGAGATACTCCAAAGTAGGATCGTCTTACCTTTTAACTCTTAAATACTTGGAACACATAAGCTATCCAGATGTATAAATGCAAACTCATAATTAAAGGGAAATTTCCTACCCCCAATCCCTAAGATATGTAAAGTTGCTATTCTCAATTGCTCTTCAAGGGTTTAAATAAAAACTTGCGATGCTTCATCAAAATTTATTAATGCTTCATTAAAATTTGTTTAGGTGTTAAAAAAAATCCTTTCAAATGAGACAAAATGCTGAATTCCCACTGTGGTGACTAAGAACTAAACCAGAAAAGTACCAGTTCTATCTCAACTATGGTTAAGTTTTCCCTTATTGAACACCTGGATGGTACAAAATCTTTGTACTTCCCAACCTCAAATTTCACCTCCTTGTAGTAAATTAACAGGCACAAAACAGATCTTCAGAATAGCAAGAGAAAAGGGGCGCAAATGAAACTCCATTTGGAGGTAGAGGGAAAAAAAATGCACAAAGAACGTGTAAAATATGTTTTATTGTTCTTTAAAAGGGTTCAGGGTTTGGTTTTAAATCAGGCTGCATCAGTCTGACATCTCTCTCACCATGTCAAACTGGCTTCAGCTAGCAATACTTCATTAAATCCAAAGGAAAAAAAAATGTTTTGATGGGAAAAAATCCAGTTCTGAGAACAATTAACATTACTCTGTAATTTAAAATAAAATGAGGGCTAATGTTTCACTTTGTTTTATATACCCTTCTTCTCGCTTAGAACCAGGAATGTAGTTCTCCTAACTCGGGCAGGCACTGGTACTGATGGAGGCTGCATGCATGTGAATGCACACACCTATACTCCCCGCCCCAAACAACATTCAGAGCATATCAAATGGAAAAGGTTTCTGATGGCATTGATCCAAAGAGTTGAAAGTATATCTGAACTTAGAGGTTATGATATTTTGATTTGATCTCGAGTCTGTGTTAAAGGAATCTATTGTCATATTCAGAAATAAAAAGAATTTTGGATAGTACCATCATTTTTTTACTTGAAAATTCTAGAAACAATGTCAAAAAGCATTATTTTGCTTTGTTTGCTGGGATGAGGGAGAGGAGAATCTACAGATTTGTATTTAGTTAAAAATCGAAAACAACTCCGGCAATAGGAAATAGGCAGTTCACATAGCCGGCCAACGTCTGAGGTATCATCAGTGAGAGACGAGGTCCTGTGCCATTCCTACTGGCCTAGCTGACACTAAACAAAATGGAAAGCTTATGGCTCTGCACAGCAAACTCCAGCAAGACAAGATGACTCTAAGCCTGTATTCAGAGCCTTAGAAGCAGGGCACTATTATTTAATATTTAGGTGAAAAGAGTGCAAGAACCCCTGATGGTGCCCTTCTACTTGCTTTGTCAATACAGCCTGTCATAACTGCCTTCTGCAAATGAGGAGAAAAACAGCTTTTCTTTCTAAATCAGCACATTGAACCCAGCAGAGATTTGCAAAAAATGCTACTATACCACTTCATAAGCAACACAGTCCCTTTGCTACTCACTGGGTTGCCTGGTATCTTCTACCCTGTTTACAGCATTGCTGGTTCTGAACCAGTGACTTCTTTTTTTTTTTTTTTTTTTAATAATCTCAAAAAGAATCTAGAAAGAAAATAACAAGGCAATCAGTGGTTCAACTGAACTATACATATAGGGAATAGTTTGAAAAATGATCGCCACAGGCATTTCTCAAGACCTAAATATTGTGAATTTGCTGCTGCTCCTCTGACCATTTCCGAAAATTCAGAGTACAATTAAGTCCTGAAGTAAAAGTTTTAAGCTACCAGTATTCCCTGACATCATTAGACAGAAAATCAGAGTAGTGCTATGGTCCACAATTCTACTGTTTGTAGAGTGTGCTAATTCTTGGCCTGAACATATTTTTAGTAATGAACTAGAGCTGTCCTCTTCAGAAAACAAGTTTCTGGGATACTCACTTAGCATCATTGGTTGGTAAAGAGAAGAATTCTACTCTCAGCTAAGTTCTTTGAGAATAAAGATTCCTCTTCAAATGCTATTTCCCCACTAATTTACCAAAACAAGTTTCTTGGCTACTTTGCCTAATGTTAGATCAAGGCTTTGAGGAAAAGAAACTAAGATGAACACTCCATCATCAGTAAAGACTAAAACCACCTGCATGCCTTTTTTTTTTTTTTTTTTTTTGGGTGTTTTTTTAACATTTTTGTTTGTTTTTCCTCTTAAAAGTGCCCAGATGGGCTTAAGGCTGCCAGACTGCACGCAAATCTACAGCAATAAGGGCTTCTCCTAGTCCATCTACAATATGTATCAGGGGAAAGGAGGGGACAAGAGAAAACAAAGAGGGGGAAAATGCACCTCTTTCCTCCTCCCAAATATCCCACCACAGGGAAATCTATGTGCCAAGCATAATGAAAGATGTGCTCCCCAAACAGGTGGTTCTGCACAGGCTAATATTCTGCTGGTTTTCCTTAGAGACCTATTCTGAAAAAGTTAAAAAAGACAGGAGATATTAAAATAATTCGATCCTGGCAGAAATTAAAACTCCAAAACTAGGAGAAAATCATCCTTCACTGAATTAATCCCTTTTTTCTTTCTTTTTTTTTTTTCTTTTTTCTTTTCTTAAACATTTTATTCACGTTATAGAGGGATTTCTTATTTGTTTACTTTTTCCTAATTGTTACGAAGAGTGGTTGAGGAGCACTGAATCCAACACTATTTCGATGACACAGGTAAATTCCAGATTCACATTTCCAGGTACCAAGAGTTCCCTCTAAATGCCACAATCACATAAGCCTTCGTTTGTATTTCTTTCTACTGAATACAGCAATGCCCATTGGTATCTCTGAAGCGTAATCGCATCTTAGGTCGATATTTCTCCAAGTAAAGCAGCTGTTTGGAATTGAATGCTCCCCTTCTTTTTCTGAAAATAAAGAATGGCAAATTTTTACCAGGTAATAAAAGAGCTTTCTGACTTACTTAAAATACATTATTTATGGCCTAATGTCTTTCTAACTCCATCCTACTGAAAACCAACATATCCCATACCACATCCCTTTTTAAAGATCTAAGTTGCCAACATGAACTTTCTGAGCCTTCCTAGAACAGAAATTTTTTTTCTTTGATAACTCTCATTACAATATATTTAAATAAAGATCAGAATGGGCTCCATATAGTGACATATGCCTGTAATCCCAGCTACTAAAGAGGCCAAGGCAGAGGATTGAAAGTTTGAGGCCCGTTAACTAATAAAGACCTTGGTCTCAAAACTTAAAAAAGTCTGGGATGCAGCTCAGTGGTAGAGCGCTTGTCTAGTATATGCAAGGCCCTGAGCTCAATTCCCAGGACACGCCCCCAACCCCACAACCCACACCACTATCAGAATGGTTTATCCAGACATCTAACTATATTCTTCCCAATTAGATTAATATATTCTTCAGACTAGAATACCAAGTATTTATGATGCTTTAAAAAACAAACACACACACACATTCAGATGAAGCAGCAGGTTCAAGACATACAGAGATGGCAAATGGCATTCACTGAAATAGGTCACTGTCTTGGAGCTATTACTATATATTTCATGCCCTCTGACACAGTCTTTTCTCTTTTTTAAGAGTTGAGCTGGGGACCATGGCACACATCTGTAATCCCAGCAATTTGGGAGGCTGAGGCAGGAGGATTGCAAATTCAAAGCCAACCTCAGCAACTTAACAAGGCCCCAAGCAACTTGGTGAGATCCTGTCTCAAAATAAAAAAAGGACTGGGGATATGGCTCAGTGGTTAATAGCACCTGAGTTCAATCCCTGGTACCAAAATAAGAAGAAAGGATTGAAAGTGCAAGACAATAATTGACAAAAGAATTCTGGACAATAAAATGCCATGGCCTATTATTTCAGATCAGTGCTAAGGTTTTGTCTGAGTACTACCATCCTAATTTTGTGCCTGCACAAGAGTATAGGGTGGTTAATCTACTCCTCTATACATTCTTCTTGCCTCTTGGTAAAGCAAAGTTGCATATGGAAGGTATTTTGGAATCTATTAAAAGGGCACTAGATCAATGAGACACTAATTATTCATTTTCAAGATTCCTACATGTTCAAACTACATAGTGAACATATTCTACAACGTCCAAATTTGACACCCAAATTTGAAAACCTTTAAACTTAGGAGTTGTAGTACTGAGTCCCTTTATCACTTGTTTGAAATTTTGTATACCTTCAAAGAATTACTTTAAGCCAAAGCCAGCAACTTATTCCATACTACAAATACTTTTCATAATTCTTTATCAAGCACGATCTTGCTTTATATGTTTCTAAACATAAAAACTTCATACTCACTGTCTTATAAACTGAACTGCATCTTCATACTTCATTCCACATTCAATCAAAGCAAGTGCAACCAGCACAGGTGCCCTGTAAAGAGAAGCCTATTTGTAAATATCCAAAAGTATTTGGAAATTAAAGATTTTTTAAAACCCAGGATTGCATATTACCAAAACAAAACAAAGTTTGAGCTTTAACTTCTTCCATCTACTAACATATCTGATATTTTCCAATACAGTAAAAATCTCCACCATTATACTATCTATTACCTGTTTTTAGTAAAGCACTAAATTCTAAACCTATAGTAAGATATCTTTACTTTTTAAAACATCACATTATAACTCCAGATTTTCTCATTATCTATTATCTCTATTTTTTAAAATCTGAGAAAACAATGTTTTAAAAAAGCCCATTACAAAGCATCAACTGTATACTACCTAACTAGTACAACTACTAGTAATAAAATTGCCCTAACCAAGAACAATGGCACATGCTTATAATGCCAGAAATTTGGGAGGCTGAGGATCGAAAAGTTCAAAGCCAGCCTCAGCAACTTGGTGAGGGCCTAAGCAACTTAGTGAGACCCTGTCTCAAAATAAAAAGGGCTGAGGGTGTAGCTGAGCCCCTGGGTTCAATCCCCAATACCCAAAAGAAAGTAAAATAAAAAAACAAGATTGCTCTAAGAAAAGTTATAATACTATCATCAGCCTTCAAGATACAGACTGAAACTGGACCTTCTGAGAAAAAAAAGTCCGCACTAAAAAAAGGGTTAACAGACTTAGTCACCACCCACCTTGAGGCAATGGCAGCTTACACTAATGTTTTGAGTCAAAGTGCACATCATAAATTGCATTTAATCTGCTGTTGATGAGGGTGTTGCAACTTCATCCCAGGAATCAGTCAATTCGTACTGTCTATACATCTCCTTTGAAGAGTTTAATTCAGTCATGTGCTTTCCACCTGTAAACTTTCCACTCATCTCAATCCAAAATTAACCAAGTTAGAGTCCTCAATCTCTAAAATGATTTTAATTCTGTTGCCCATTCCAATTATCTAAATCTTCAATTACTTGAAATGGGGAAAAATAAAAACTCTTTTAAGTGCAATATGCTATCAGAATCAGACAAACAAAAAATCATTATACTAATTTTTGCTCTCATTTCTTTTCCAATAATTTAATGTTATTTAGAATAATACATGCAAATTTCTACCAGAGTGAAATATTCAATGGCTTACTCAGGCATGATAATGAATTCAGATTAATAAGAGAAAAAAGTAGAAATTTACCTTCCCAATCCTGCAACACAATGCACTGCAACACAGCAACCTGGCTCTTCACGGAATTTGGTTTTTAACAAGTTCAGCCAATCATCTACTATCTGATTAGGGGGTGGAGCTCCATCATCAAATGGCCAATCCTAAAAAGAAATTACCTCTTACATCAAATTATATTTTCTCCAAGTCTAACATCCTAATGAAGAAGAGCTGCACAGAATAGATATGGCAGGCCATATGTACCTGTTCTTAAAACAATTCTGATCATTGCTGAAAAATTACCTAAGACTGAAATTTAATTTGCCAAATAAATTAGTCTGCTCAATGAAATGCAAAGTGTCACAACCATCTAAATTTATCGTACAGAAATCTCTTTATCAGTCATAAGAGCTAATGTTTTCCCAAATATTTTATCTGAGCAGTAGACATACTGGGAAAAAATACAATGAAAGCCAAGACAGTAAAAGAGAATAAACACATGTCAACATGATTTAAAAGTCCACTCCAGCAAAGTATACCAAACTGGAGTCTCATTAATCTCTACAAGCATTTTTGAGAATTATCTTCCAGATGACTATATCTTTTCTTAGAGAAAGACTAAATTCAACAATTAGTGAATAAAAACACACTACCATCTTTATCTTATCAAAAAAAAAAAAACAAAAACAGGAGGCTGGGGCTGGGGCTCAGTGGTACAGCACTTGCCTAACATGTGAGGCAATGGATTTGATTCTCCTCACCACATATAAATAAATGAATAAAATAAAGAAGTCCATCAACAACTTAAAAAAAAAAAAAAAGGATGCCTATAATCCCAGCAGCTCAGGAGGCAGAGGCAGGAGGATCCAGAGTTCAAATCCAGCCTCAGCAACGGTGAGATGCTAAAAGCAACTCAATAAAATCCTATCTCCAAATAAAAATACAAAATAGGGCTGGGGATGTGGCTCCGTGGTTGAGTGCCTCCAAGTTCACTCACTGGTTTAAAAAAAAAAAAAGGCAAGTAGCAAAATTTTAAATCTCTGACTAAATTTTAAATCTTTGTCATTTAACAAAGACAATATCATATAATAAGCTCCTGAGCAAATGGAGACCATGTTCTCAAATATCCCTTTCTCTTCTTGAACTCATCAATTTGGGTTGTATGCAGGAGTTTTTTCTTCCTTACTACCTAGCAAGAGGTCTTGAGAAACCTACACAAATGGGCAGAAATCATATTTTACACACCCTCTCTCCTCTCAAAGACTGAAATGGAAAAACACCATTGGGGATTTTTTTTTTTTTTAAACAAGGCTATTCTAATGAGACTGACTAAGAACACTTTAAGATACTAGAGAAATAAAAAAGCAACAGAGCACTAAATTGATTCTGTACTCATTATTGGCACCACTAGAACACTTCACGTAGTCCATTAGCCACAACAGCACATTATGTTTGAATTGTCAACTACACCCCATAATTAAAAGGCTGTCAGTGTTATTATAAATGTCACTACAGAATTTAACTGTAAACAGCAGTAAAATCATAAGCACCTTAGTCAAGAGCTTACTTCCTGTAATACGCCCTTAAAATGCACCTACTTAAGGAAAATAAAGTTTCCCTTACTCATGTTCCTTTAAAACACACACATACACACCCCCCAAAAGAATTGCTGAGCTAGGGGTGTAACTCAGAGATAAGAGTTCATGCCTAGCATATTGGAGGCATGGGTTTAAAAAGTAAAAAAGAAAAAGCATTCTTCATTTAGAAATATCTGAACCTCAAACTGATACAGCTAAAACTAACATTAGTCAGTCTCTTCAGTGACCTTTTATTTGAAACAGCATTCAAAGGATTAAAAGGTCTTATATGTGGGGGAAGATCCTCTTACAGTGAAACATTCCAAACTCTCTTCACCTGGCAAATGTAAATTAACTCCATTTTAAAACTCTGTGTAAGAAAAGGAAATTTCAAGTTTAACACTAAATATCCTTGTTTTTTCAAGCTTAAATTAAACCTTTAATTTATCTGATAATAGCTATTTAAAACAAAACAAAAAGCTAAATTTAAAGGCCTGGAATAAGTCCCAGACCCACCATTATCTTCTACAAACTAGTTTAGGTTCTTTAGTTTATTTCTATTTCATGAAAATGTTTACTAACATTACTGATTCAACTGACTACGATCAATCCAAGGTCACTTTCTCACCCTGCCACACATCAAAACAAGTTTTCTCATCTATCCACTGGAGAACATACTCAAACTACAGGGAAATGAACTTGCATTTGACTTAATTTCAGAATTTAAATATTTGTTTTTATTTAACAAAAACAAAACCCCACAGAGCTGCATTTTACATGTTTCCACTTACCCTCAGTGATTTCCGATCCATGGACTATAAATTAGAAATGGAAATGCAAGCATATGATCATGCCATACTACTAGAAAAAAGCAGCAGCAGCAGCAGCTGAGGGGATGAGGCACACCTATAATCTCAGTGACTCAGGAGGCTGAGGCAGGAGAATCACAAGTTCAAGGCTAGCCTCAGCAATCTAGCAAGGTCCCAAGCAACATTAGCAAGACCCTGTATAAAAATAAATGACTGGTTCTGGGGTTGTGGCTCAGCAGTAGAGCACTCACCTAGGTTCAATCCTCAGCACCACATAAAAATAGATAAATAAATAAAATAAAAGTATCATGTCTAACTACAACTAAAAAATAAATAAATAAATGGCTGGGCTGGGGTTGTGGCTCAGCGACAAGAGCACTCGCCTAGCACATGCGAGGCCCTGGGTTAGACCCTCAGCACCACATAAAAAATAAACAAAATAAAGGTATTGTGTCCAATTACAACTAAAAAATAAATATTTAAAAATTTAAAATAAATAAATAAATAAATGACTAAAAGATGGGGGTTGGGGATGTAGCTCAATGGGTAAAGCACCCCTGGGTTCAATCCCCAGTACAAATAATAATAATGATGATGATGATGATGTCTGGCTATTTCATTTTTGTTTTTACAAAAATGGAAGTGAGGGGCTGGGGATGTGGCTCAAGCGGTAGCGCGCTCGCCTGGCATGCGTGCGGCCCAGGTTCAATCCTCAGCACCACATACAGCAAAGATGTTGTGTACGCCGAAAACTAAAAAATAAATATTAAAAATTCTCTCACTCTAAAAAAAAAAAAAAAAAATGGAAGTGAGGAAGCTTTATGGATCAGACAGGACAGCTTCCTTACTAAAAGAAAACTTATTCTTCGAATTAACTGCCTTTCCAACCACTGACCAATATAATAAATAAAAATTATGGAACTACCTCTCAGTAAAAGGTATAAATATAACCTTGAACTAATATCTTCCTAATTACTTTCTTCCTAATTATTTACAAAATTTCCATTTCTCTTACTACCTTGCCTTCCCACAATCGAATCAAATAGCTCTAACACACCTAACTATAGACTTTATTTCCTAACATGCTCCTAAAAGCCACTCCTGGGATTTCAGACTATTATTTAGGGAAGAAGGTAAAAAAAAAAAATTTAACTAATCTGAGTCTTCCATTTTCTTAAGGAAACAGCATAAATATTACAGAGGAATTTAATTTAAAATAATTTCAACCACTTTGTGCTCAAATTGAACTATTATAAGAAAATTAATCCCACAAATATTTAAAAAAAAAAAATCAATCAATCAATCAACCAAAGTGTCAGAAACTATGCTGATCATTCTGGAACAAGATGACTTCTCCCACTCCTCCTTAACCTCTTCTCCTACCTTTTATCCCCTATAAATTTTCCACAAAATATTAATAATCTGGTACTTGCAAAGTGGCAGATGATATTTCCCTATGTTAGGTAAGAATATCTGATACAAATTATTTCCAGTTACATTCAAATAGGTAACACAGAAATGAAAGCTAAGTACTATATTAATTTCTTAAAGATACAAAATGAAAATTTCCATTTTCTTGAAATAATGTATACCCAATTTTGCTTTTTATTTGTTGAAAATACTCTGCATTTGTAGGCTTTAAGAACACACTGAATAAAACTGCCAATTAACACAAAGAAATTTTATTTTATTTTCAGAGATCGAATAGGTATCGAACAAGGTCATTTAACCACTGAGCAATGTCCCCAGCCCTTTTTATTTTTGAGACAGGGTCTCACTAAGTTTCTTAGGATCTCCCTAAATTGCTTAAATTGGCCTTAAACTTGCCATCTTTCAGCCTCAGCCTCCCAAATCGCTGGGATGACAGGCATGTACCACCACACCCAGCTGATCCAAAGGAATTTTAAAGATTGTTATCAATATTGTATTTACTATTATAAGCTTAAAAAGCAAAATTACTGAACACCAAGTTTTATAAATATCTGTATTTGAAAGGTACAACTTATTTGTCACAAAATAAAACTAAAACACTACACACTCACTAGAACGTAGATTCCTTCTTTTTCAACTGGAGCTTTATCATATGTAGCATCACAAACTCGAACCAAAGTTGTCACTCCATACTTCTTAAGTTCCTTTAAAAAAGAAACAATTATAAGGGAACTTGCTTTTAGAACTAGCACCCAAAGCTTAGAAATGTAGTATTATAAAACAGTAAGACATCTTATTAAAAAAATCATTCTCATTGTAATAACATATAAGGGACACTTAAGAGTTCTCAGTGGAAGGTAAATAAGACATATCTAAGGGTTACCTTAACATAACACAAAACCCTTAAAAGTTCACATCACTTTGTCCTAGAGAGTCTACTTCTGGGAATGTATACAAGGAAATAAGTAAGAACATACACAAAGATACAGGCAACAATAAGTTCATCACAGACTATTTGGAACAGTGAAAAACTGGAAATAATATTAATGGTCCCAAAACAAGAAAATTGGTTAAAGGGGACGAGGCATATTAATGCAGTGAATGCTACGACAGCTACTGAAAATAATACTAAGGGGGCGGGGACAATATTTTAAAATAGCCAGACAAGGTGGCACACCTATAACCCCAGCGGCTCAGGAGGCTGAGGAAGGAGAATTGCAAGTTCAAGGCCAGTCTCAGCAACTTAGCAAGGCCCAAAGCAATTGAGAAAGACCTTCTCTCAAATTAAAAACAGAAAAAGGGATGGGATGTAGCTCAGTAGTAAAGGACACTTTAATTCCCCAGAATCCAAATAAATAAAATATATATCATGATCCTATCAATATGTATATCTACAAATATGCATATGCAGAAAAAAAACATCTAGAAGTCAGGTATTAATAATTAACTTTCGGAGTATGGAGGCACACACTAATAATCCCAGTTCCTCCAGAAGAGGAAGATTTCAAGTTCAAAGCCAGCCTGGTCAACTTAGCAAGACTCCCAATTCAAAAATAAAGCCAGATGCACACATATTTTTCCAGCTACTTAGGAGATTGAGGCAGGAAGATTCCAAGTTCAGAGCTAGTCTTGGCAACTTTGACAGACCCTGTCTTAAAAAAAATAAAGAGGGCTGGGGATGTAGCTCAGTGGTAAAGCACCCCTGAGTTCAATCCCCCTGAAATAGTCTTATTTTCTTTGTATCTTCTGATTGGTTTTTTGCTTGTCTGTAATAAGCATTTATTGTTTTTTTTTTTTAAGAATAAATAAAAGTAACTTTTTGAAATTAAAAGGAAAAAATGGTATTTAAAAAAAAAAAAAACAACAGCCAATACAACTATAGCCAGAAGCCTGCTTCTTTCCTATAAAAAACCTTTGTGTGGTGAATGCCTGAACCAATGACTACCTATCTTCAAGGGACCACCATCTTTTTATAGTTGCAGGATAGTGGCCACTGACACTTTTGGAGTTTACAGCCAAGGAATCCACAGGCTAAAAATAGTATACAGACTTAAAAGTGACTGAACAACCTGAGGACACAAAGACCTTGGAATCAACTTGTATACTGTGTACATGAAGCTAAGAACCTCAAAGAATTATAAGTATAAAATAAGCATCAACAAAAATATTCAAGACTGGGGCTGTAGCTCAGTGGCAGAGCGCTTGCCTAGCATGTGTGAGGCACTGGGTTCAATCTTTAGCACCACAAAAAAATAAAACAACAACAAAAAATAAAGGCATGCTGTCCATCTACAAATACCCAAAAAAAAGGAAAGAAAAGAAAAAAAAATAACAGTAATATCCTATAAAAGTACCCATTGTTGAATTATCTCAAGAGTAAAGTTATTTTTAATTGTTCAAAGTCTGACTTAGGAAAGTTACAAATATTATATTAATGAGTTTTAAAAATCAGTTTTGAAATACAAATAAAATCCCACTAAAATAAACTCTAGCTAGATGCAGTGGCCTAGCCTATAATCCCAGTTACTCAGGAGACTAAGGCAGGAAGATCCCAAATTGAGGCCAGTCTCACAATTTAGCAAGACCCTGTCTCAAAATAAAAATAAAAAGAGCTAGGGAGATGTTTTGCTGTGGTAAGAGTGCACCCCTGGGTTCCATTCACAATATCACAAAAAGCAAAAAACTGAGGGTGGGGGGGTGGACAACCTGTTGATACCTTCAATCGCTGTTATTCATTGAATGGTTGTCAAACACTTGAAATCCCAGAGGCCTGGTACGCAGAGACAGGAAGATCACAAGTTCAAAACCAACCTCAGCAACTTAGAGAGGCCCTAAGCAACTTAGTGAAACCATGTCTCTAAATAAAAATATAAAAAAATTAAAAGGGGCTGGGGACGTGCCTCACTGGTTGAGCACCTCTGGTTTCAACCCCTGGTACTGAGAAAAAAAAAGTTTATGATATGATTTTGTGAACAAGTCAAAAAACCTCTTTTGGCCTCTCCTATGCCACCCATGAAATGAGAATCCCTAGGAAATCAACGAGCTAAGTCTACTCCATACATACATCAACAGAAATCACATTTAGACTGAATAACCTAGATATGATTGAAAAATTTCTATTTAAATGTTTACCAAAAGTAAAGCACTACCAATGGCAGAGGGATCAAGGATCTGATATAATCTTCCTCCAAGTTTCTGTACCTTGTATGATGGCTGCTATTACTAAGTAGTTCTGGAGTGACTTTTCATCAAGGGTGGTTAGAACATTTGAGGTATAATGTGGGTTTTAGTATGACAGACCTGGTTAAGTGCCAGTTTTGCTACAAATAATGTGTCATTATTAGGCAAGTTACTAAATGGCTCTGAACCTCAATTTTGATATTTGTTAGAAAGAAATAGTGGTACCTATACCTCAGAGGACTTTTGTATATGTCATCTTAAGCACAAATATGGATTATTGCATAATAAAATAGCTTACTGTTAATGTTGACTACATGCTGTGCTCAATAAATGTTATTTTATTATTGAAAGGATGACAAAAAAAGCTGTATATATACGTCTTTTTTAAGACACAAGAAAAAACTGTACTAGATAATCTCTATGTATTCCCAAATTCTATTAGTATTCTTTCAAAAACCTATTATAACTAATTCAACCTAATTCAGGTCAGTTCTGGTAGGTTAATCTTCCAAAAATTACAAAGATTTTTTGAAAAAACAAGGTCAATCTTTAATATTTTACCTACATATCAATCCAAAAAGTAGACTATGCTACAATCTTACCTCTGTGAACTTGTTGAGAGTTGCATTGGTAGGGTTGTGAGTTATCAGAAAACGCATGTTCTCATAGGAGATCTCCACAGGGGCTGGACGGTTCATTATGGCAAATAAAAAGTGTGAGCGTGCGTGTGTGTGAGTATGATGGGGAAAATTGGGGGGAAAAAAATCAATAAATCTTGAAATGTTTCACAGCAGAAAACATTAAAAAAGACCACTAAAATGCCTATTATCAATCAGTATTCTCTATTCAACTTGTTTATTCTTTATGAAGCTTTTCTCTTCAAGATAAGCAGAAGTATTTAGAATCCACACCAATCCAAATTCAACTTGGGCCTCAATGTCTGCAGATGGATTCCTTCGGAGTCCAAAAAAATCCAACTACATACAAAACATAAGCAGCCTTTACTACATTTAGGCACTAGTGAGACACATTAAAAGTGTAGGTCGTTTTTCCACTTTTGTTTACTTGATGCTTAATTTACTGGAGTCATTAAAAGAAATATACTTGCAATAAAAAAAAAAAAAAAAAAGTCAACTATTTCTGAGGCCAGTCTCGGTGTCCAGAGTCTTCAAGGCAATGTTAATTATGGCACATAGAACCCCCAAGCTCACTTGTCAGCGAAAACGCTGTGCTGAGCCTGGCAGAAGTCTGCCCTCACGCTCAGAATCGCCATAAATGTGCAACGTATATTCCAACGAAAAACCTAGGGGAGAAAAACATAAGTAAATGAAATAAGGTTGACAGCATAGTAAATATGCCTTAAGTCAAAAATACATTCTTTAACAGCCAAAGACACATAAAATACCACCAATTCTAAATTATTGCCACCTATGAAGAACAAGATTAAGGGTATGCCAAGAGTTTTAAAAATCAAGAGACTTAAAAGTATACCTTTATTATTTTTTTAAAATTGGGTTTTTATTATTTCATGAAGCTTCTATGCCAATAAATTATTTTTAGTCTTTTTTTTTTGGGGGGGGGGGGGCATGTACTAGGATTTTAAGCCAGGAGTGCTATACCCTGATTTACATCCCCACCCCTTAATTTTTTAATTTATTTTGACATAGGATCTAAGTTGCCTCAAGACAATTTAGAGCCTCACTAAATTCTTGCAGCTGGACTCCAATTTTCCATCCTCCTTGTCTAAGCCTCCCAAGTCACTGGGATAACAGAAGTATATCACCACACCAGGCTTCAACTCATTTTAAAATAACTATATTTTTTAATTCATTAAAATAATTTTTAAATGATTAGAGGTACTTAAAACTTTTCTCCATGGACTCTTTTTATAAAACCTCACAAAGACACCCTTATTTTTCTGCTTTGATGGTTAGATCTTTAGTATGTATTCATTGGTTAGTGTAAAGTACATCTACAAATAAGTGGAGGATATTTACCAAAATTTCACTTCATAAACTTAATTCTATCAAAAATGTATGCCCTGATCCCTAATTACAATACAAGCTCATAAAGCACTTTCAAAAATTACTTCCTTTTCCTCACAACTGAGTAGCTGTACTCCATTTGAGGAATGAGGAAAGAGGATCAGAGAAGTAAAATGACTTGTCTTAAGATCACACAATGAATTGAGTCCAAATTCAGACCAAAGTCTTCTATTGGCCATGTATTTTTTCCAATTTATCACCCATGCCTAATGACTCAAATAATGTATAAATCCCATCTTCTCATTTCTAGTCCAGTGTACCTTTTTGCGATTTTTCACATCACTGCCTCAAAGTCATCTAAAGGTCAATGCTTCACACAGCATTGTCCACCCTAAATATTATTTCCTACCAAAATAAAAGGCAAGAAAGAGAAGTGGCAGATTTTTAATATTAGTTTAGGCCTACTGCTTTAAGACACAGTAGTCTTTATAGCTGGCTCAGTCAGAGAATGTGGCATAATCAAACTCCTATGGAAACAGAGACAAGGTCTAACTTCTTTCACTTGCCTCTTCCCCAAACCACCAATAAACGCTTATTTAAAAAGTCTCCAAGCGAGGATATAGCTAGATGATAGAGTTCAATCCCTAGCACCACAAAAACTGAAATTTTTAAAATAATATTATTTGTACTGGAGGTGAAGCTCAGTGACAGAAAACTGTCTAGCAAGATTGTGAAGCCCCATTCTGAAAATTAAAGATGTTTAAGGTTCAAAGAGATTAAAATGACAACTAAAACCACAATGATAATTAGTACCAAATCAATGACAAGAACCCAGATCTCCTAACTCCCTAATTATTTTTTCCTTCAATTTTGGAGTTGCCCACATATTTTTCAAGTCACAATCTTTTTCAAGCAAGTGTAACTTTTCTTCAAATATCTCTCTGCATGATCATCTGCAATTGTGACCTTATAAAAAGGGAAGATTATTAAAGCAACTACTCAAAGAACAATGGTTTGCATGCAGTACAGAGCAAAACACATGAAATTCTAACCTGTTTAAATCCCTTTGATTCAACGATGTTATCACAGCTAATGTGTGTCAGCTGAGCAAAGGCACTGAAAGACCAGCATTGTAGTGGCAGCTAGGCTTAAAAGGTTACAGCTCTAGCATTAAATTTTCTACCTAGACTCCAGAATTTGTCTGCTTAGCAAATAGAACAAGCTTTATCCCATTTTATTCCTCCAAACTCAGTTTGGAAGACTACTTCCAAGGATAATGATAATTCATCATTAGATTTTCAATTTTAAAAAAATTTTTTTAGTTATATATGGACACAATATCTTTATTTTGTGTATTTATTTTTTATATGGTGCTGAAGATTAAACTCAGTGCCTCACATGTGCGAGACAAGCGCTCTGCCACTGAGCCACAACCCAGCCCTAGATTTTCAATTTTTTAAAAAATATTTTTTTACTCATAAATGGACACAATACCTTTATTTATTTTTATGTGGTGCTGAGGATCGAACACAGTGCCTCACACTTGCTAGGCAAGCACTCTACCACTGAGCCACAACCCCAACCCTAGATTTTTAGTTCTTAATACTAAGAGCTCCTATGAGGACACAGTTCAGTGGTAGAGCCTGCCTACCACACACCAGGCTCTGGGTTCAATCTCAGACACTGTAAAAATAATAAAATAAAATACATAGAAAGTCCCAAGACAAGAATTTCTGCCAAAAGTAACAGTGAGTTCTACTAATGTTAAAATATTTTTTTTAAATATTTTTTTTTTAGAGAGAGAGAGAATGTTTTAGTTTTCGGCAAACACAACATCTTTGTTTGTATGTGGTGCTGAGGATCGAACCCGGGCCGCACGCATGCCAGGCGCGCAATACTGCTTGAGCCACATCCCCAGCCCCTATCAATGTTAATTTAATACATGATAAAGCTGGGAGTGGTGGCTCATGCCTATAATTTCAGTAACTTAGGAGGCTAAAGCAGGAGAATTAAAGTTTGAGATCAGCTTCAGCAACATAGTGAGTTCCTGAAAATTAAAAAAAAAAAAGGGGGGGGGGGGGTTGGGATGTGGCTCATGGTTAAGCACCTCTAGGTTCAATTTCCAGTACAAAAATAAAATAGAAATAAAAAGTGAGCAAGAAAGAAATACAAAATAAAAGCAAGTTTCTGTTCCCTCCATCTCCAAGAGTTCAACTAACTATACACCAACAGTAAAAAATTTTTTGCACCTGTTAATTCAGCTAAACTAATGTTAACTCTAGTGACACACATAACAATGCAAAGCAAACAGCCTTTAAAAATAAACAACCTGTCACAGCTGTAAAGTACTCAGAAGTTGCAGAGCCCTGAATTTTACCATCAATTCTGCACCTGCACACAATGCCGGGAAACTTTCTTATAAAGTTCTGTCTCTGGCATTAATTCTGCTCTACCTAAGTAAAAATTGATTACTGGACTGGGAATGTAGCTCAGTGGTATAGTATGTGCTTAGCACACCCAAGGCAATGGGTTAGATCCCCAGCACCACCTTCCCCATCCCCCTAAAAAAAACTTTTAATTTGCCAGATGATGTTACATGTTATGCTTGACATATAAAGCAGTCAAATTCAAATATGTGCCCAAATATTGTCTCCACCTTTTATCTTTTATAGAGCCTTTTTAATTATTTTTAGTTGTAGATGGATATAATACATTCAACTTTACTGATTTTTATGAGGATGGAACCCAGTGCCTCACATGTGCCTCACTCTACCACTGAGCTACAACCCCAGCCCTAGAGCCTAACTTTCAAAATATGCATGAGACATTTCCATTTCATAGGCAATATTTCAATCTTCAACAAATGAGCATAACTTCAACAAAAGGTTGGTCTGACAGAAATCCTTTCAAATTAAGAAGAAGGAGTGAAGGAAAGGATAAAGAAAAGAATGAGGAAAGGGAGCTGGTATAAGAACAAGCAGAGTCATAACAAGCTGAGATAAGAGATAACTTACAACTTTGAAGAGTATGTTAGAGCTTAATTTCCTAGGGTCAATAGTATACTGTTAATATTTACCTAGATGAAAATCTAAAACCAAATTGCAGGAAACAATACAATATCCACCATTTAATAGCACATTCGTAAAATAGAAAACTACACAGAAGCTAAAAATAAAACAGGTCTATAATGAACTGTTAAGAAAAGTGTTAAAAGACAAAGTGAAAAGACCAAGGTACATGACAGAATGAACAGTATGTTTAGTAATTTTCTTTTGAGTACTGTATATGCTTTCATACCCAAGGACTATTTGAAAGGTTACAAAGATAACAGGGTAACAGTGGTTTCCTGGGGGTAGAGAAAGGGTGGGGAGGGCAGGACTAGAGGTTGGAGGTCAGGAGCATAATTTATCTTAGCATATACTATTTGAACTGTTTTCATTTTTTCCATGTGTGTATATATATATATATATATATTCTTAGAGTTCTAGGATAAAGAATCCTATAACAATTTACAATTCAACTATATTTTTAACAGTGCTATGATCATAGGATTAGAAAGCCTCCAAAGGGCTTAGTCCCTCTGGCCCAGGCAGGTCTGTAACTACACAACTCCAGGCAAGTATTTTCTTCTGTTAAAAACAATAAATAAGCAAAGTTCATGTCCTGCCTACCGACTACAATTCTAAGTTCAAATACAAATACAACAAATTCAAGAAAGGGATTTTATAAAAGCAGCCCCATTTGATTTAACCAAATTTCACTGTACATTCTTTTAAAAATTCTATCAAGCCTCTCCCACCCAGGCTTTCCACACACATACACACATACAAAAAAACTTTTAGCTCCAAATTAAACGATACAATAAATCCTCTACTTTTATGGTCTATGCCAGTATTCACTAAATTAAAACAGCACATTATAACATAATGTGCAAAAAAAAAAAAGTTCTAGATAAGAGGAAATAAAATCTAAAAGCAAAGAGCAAGTAAGCATGTTTGCTATGTTACTTTTCTTACCAGAAATTCTACAGGAAGTCATGCAAATTTGAGTTGGCTTAGTTTCTATAATCAAGCAATGTAAAAGCATAATACAACCTGGGCACCGTGGCCAACACCTGTAATCCCAGCAACCAGGGAGGCTCAGGCAGGAGGACTACAAGTTCAAGGCCAGTTTTAGCAACTTAAAGGGTCCCCTCAGTAACTTAGGGAGAGAGACCCTGTCCCAAAAAAGGACTAGGGATATATAGTTCAGTGGTAAAGTGCACCTGAGTTCAATTCCTTGTACAAAAAAAAAAAAAACTTAAATAGCTGCAATAATG